TCCTGTTCCTCTGCTGCCTGGCTGCTGTGTTCCTCCGGCTTCACACTGTGCCGTAACTGGCATAACAGGCTAGTTTTGTGAAATTTTGCTAAGGGTTATTTGTTGTGTAATATGCACTAAAAACCGCTACTAGATTTTTTTTTTTTAAATTTCTGAATTTGGAAGAATTGTGGTACAACTCATATTAACATCTGAGGCTTTATCCTGGAGCTCTTTATACTCTTGACTGTATTAAAAATTGCATTTATTATGGCATTAAGTATTTCATTTCAGGTCACTTTCCTGCACTCCTAATTCCTATATTTCTGTTATTCTACTGATACTATGATATTGGGGTAAATATTCTGTTTGATGGGATAGACTGTAAATCTATTCGTGCTGAGGAACAGGACCAAAGGATCAAGCTGGTGGAATTTAAATACAATACATTAAGGAAAAATTGGAGTTGAAAACTGATCTTGGTGATGTTACAATGTCACCAGCATCAATTTGTCATTAAAAACGCATTCTTAATCTTGTTTCGAAAAGAAAATTTGCTGTCATTACTTTATCTGGCCTACATGTGACACCAGCCTCAAAGTAACATGGTTTAAATCATTGCAAATCATTCAGATGTAAGGCTCAAAATGCGTTTTCTCTTAAAGGCTGTTGAGTTCTTCTCTGGGTTACTTTTTGATTCTCACTGATTTTTGTTTGGGTTACGCAGTCATGTAATAACAGTACTTTATGTATTGTGTTGATATGTAGACTCGTATAGACGCAAGATTCAAACCATTCTTCTGAATATTCTTCTGCTCAGTAAACTTAAAGCCACAACATGCACAACAATGGTTTCCAAGCAGCGTGGAGCTGGAGGAACACAGCAGGCCAGGCAGAATCAGAGGAGCAGGAAAGTTGACGTTTCGGAGAAGGGTCCTGACCCAAAACGTCAACTTTCCTGCTCCGTTGCTACCTGGCCTGCTGTGTTGCTCCAGCTCCACATTGTGTTGTCTCTGACTCCAGCATCTGCAGGTCTTGGCTGTCTCTGAATAGTTCCTAAATACCACTTTCTTAAAGTTAGTATATGACCACAGGTACAGGTTAACAGAAATGTTAAAATACTACAGTTATCCATGCAGCTGTTTCTGCAAACGTGCCTTCAGTCTGGTGATGTCAGAGTGTTTCTGTTGCTCATGAGATTAAAATTTAACAACTGACAATTCATTAATTTTAACTGCTATATTTTCCTTGTATCAAAGCACTTTAACTTTGTTGGCCTTAAGGAAGAGATTCCACAGTCACTTGTTGGAATTGGTTATGTTAGCATTTTGAAGTTTTCTTGGCTCCCAGTTAGCTGAGTATTCCTTGTTGAGGGCCTTTAAGAGTAGATTCACCTCCTTTTTAGCTTCCCTTTTCCCTCATTTGCTTCCCCCAGACCTCTGCAACCACTCCTTGGAACTCCCCCTCCCCCTCCCCCTCACTCCCCAGATCGTAGGGAGATGGGTTGGTAATCCAGAGGTCGAGACTATTACTCTGTCAACATGGCTTCAAATCCTGTAGTGATGGTGAATTTGAAACTATTGTTATGGAAGTGCACCTGTCTACTCAAGTCCTTCAAGAAAGGAAATTGGCCATCCTTAGCTATTTTGGCCTATCAGTCTCTCCAGATTGACAGAATGTGATTGTCTTTAACTGTCGTTTTGACTTGCAAGTTACTTAGTACAAGGGCAAATAGGCAGTTAGAAATCAGCAATAACATAACATACCATTGACTCCTGCATGTCTATGAAATACTAAATTTACAGAAATCTATCTGACCATATTGTAGCACTTGGAAAAATAGTATGCCCCGTCCACAAACGAAAAAACAATCCATCCAATTTCAGCCCCGTCATCAGCAAAGTGAATGGAAGTGGTTACTGATATTGCTACCAAATGGCGTTCACACAGCAATAACCTATTTGCTGTCCAGCTTGGTTTTGATTGGCTCACTGGCTACGCAACCTCATTTTGGCCTTATTTCAGACACGCGAAAGTCCTGAGCCCAAGAGGAGGCATGACAGTTATTACCATTGACATCAAGACAACGTCTGACTCAGTATGCCGTCAAGGAGCTTGAGCAAAATAGAATTTTATTGGGGTGAGTGGGTGAGGAAAATTCTCCACTAGTTGGAGTAATACTCAGCACAAAGTGGGATGATTGTGTTTGAAAAACATAACTTAACCATCTTCTTTTGGCATTAGTATTGCTGAATTCCCAACCACCAACATCAAGAAGTTACCGAGTTACCAGAATCTAAACTAGGCCAGCTATATAAATACCTGCTAAAAGAGCAGGTCAAATGCTGAGAATCCTGCGTTGAGTAACTTCCCTGTTAATGCCCCTAATGCCTTGTAGATGGTAGACAGGTATATAAATCAGGAGTATGATGGAGTAATGCTCACTTGTTAGAGCAACTGGAAGTGTCAGCAATACTCAACACCATCCAGAGTATGGCCTGTTTGATTTGGCATCCGGTTCATCTTCAGCATTCACTTCCATTGTCACTGGCTCTTATTTAGTATCAATCTCATGTCTTTTTCATCATAGAATCCCTATAGCGTCGAAACAGGCCCTTCGGCCCAACAAGTCCAAACCGGCCCTCGGAGCACCCCACCCAGACCCATCCCCCTATAACCCACCTAATCTACACATCCTTGAACACTACGGGCAACTTAGCAGGCCAAGCCACCTAGCCTGCACATCTTTGGACTGTGGAAGGAAACTGGACCACCCGAAGGAAACCCACGATGACACTAGGAGAATATGCAAACTCCACACAGACAGTTGCCCGAGGGTGGAATCAAACCCGGGTCCTTGGTGCTGTGAGGCAGCAGTGCTAACCAATGAGCCACCGTGCTGCCCAGAATATGGCATTTGAGAGAAGTTTTAATGAGTGGACGTAAGTTGCAGGCACCACTGGGATATATATTGCATATTCCTACGCAGCATAACTATCAAAGTAACTATTCAATGCCCTTTTGAATGCTTAACTTGGACCTGCCTCCACACCACTTCCAGGTAGTACATTCCATAGCCTAATAATTGTGTGAAAAAGTTTTTCCTCACATCATCCTTGCTTCATTTGCGCTTCACTTTAAATCTCTGCCCACTCGTCCATTTTACCCATGGAAACAGTTTCTTCCTATCTACTCTGTACAGCCTGCTCGAGATTTTCAAAGCCTCAGTCAGATCTTCTCTCAGGTGCCTTCCTTTCAGGGATAACAGCCATAACTTCAATTTATTATCATAGCTGAAGTTTCTTAAACTTAGAGCTATTCCAGTAGATCACTTTTGCACTCCAGTGCATTCATATCTTGCCTATAATATGGTGCCCACAACTGTATGCGATACTCCAGCTCAGGTCTAACAAGTTCAACATCACTTCTTGCTTGGGTACTCCATGCCCCTATTTATAAAGCTAAAAGCAGTCTGGCTTATTGATGCCCCCCAGCTGTCCTGCCACCTTCAGTGATCTGTGTACATATACCCGTAGGTCCCTCTACAGCTGCACCCCCTTTAGAAATTACATCACCCCTCTTCTTTGCATTGAATATCTGCCATCTATTTGTCCAGTCTACCAACTTATCAGTGTCCTTTAGTTTGCAATTCTTCCAAGTTTCATGTCTGCAAACTTTGAAATCGGCCCCTGCACACCAACATCCGTATCATTAATACATGGTAGGGATGCCAAACTGATGTTTGGGAAACACTACTACAAACCTTCCTCCAGCCTGAAAAGTATCCATTGGCCATTAGACTATTTTCTATCACTGTCAGTTTTGCATCCATGTTGCTGCTATACCTTTAATACCATGACCTAAACTTCCTTCAAGTTTATTTTGAGGCACTGTATCAAAATGCCTTCTGGAAATCCATATATACCACATCATAAGCATTACTGTCATCAACCTTTTACCTGTTCAGAAAACTCCAAATTAGTTAAAGTGCAGTTAAGTGAAATTCTGGCATTATTTCTAAAAATGAAACGGCTCCAGCTAAATCACCCTCCCATGGAGGAAAAGAAACCACTGCAAATGCAGAAGCAGAATTCCTTGTATGAACATATGTCTAACTTTCTATCTAATTTGTTGTATGCTACTAGGTTCATTTCCAGAAATGAGGTTGCATTTTTTTTTTAGTATGAGATTATAAATTAAAAGCACATAATTCTTCAAAGTTTTGAGATGTGATTTTCGTGATAGTCAGTGAAACTATTATCATTTGTGCTTCTTATTCTGGCAATGACATCGGTTTCATTTTGGGCTCTTTCTTTTAAGTTTGCTTGCTGCAGGAGTTACAGCAGATGTCTGTGGCCAGAAGCTATTGTCTTGCCTCTTGCTGGATGAGCATTCAGGATTATAGTACTCTGCAGTTGAGAATTACTTAGTGTATCTAAAGTCAACAGGCTCTTTGACAGCATTTTCCTCTAGGGTTGTTACATTCACTTCGTACTCGTGCTATAATTATGGAAAGATGAGGATAATCACTGTTCTTGTGTTTGTAAGGTAGGTAAGTGATTCCCCACACTGCTTGTTTAATAGATGGAATTATCAGTACTGTAATGGAGTTTTATTGTTTAAAACATTTTAAAATAATTCTTTGGGATGGTTTGTAAAGTGAGTGAAGTAGGAGGGGTCAGTCAATGGAGCTGAAAATATGCAGTGTAAAGCCATGTTAAATTTTTGTTGAGTCCATGATTATTTATAGAGGTCTTGAAGTAGTGATTGCAAACGTATTAATTGCCTGTCTACTGCAATGGGTTTCACTGTTTGCTCCAATCCCTTCCTGTACCATAACATCTCCTAATGGGTCATATTACTGCTGTTGTAAAAGCTGAAAGAGCAGTCAGGTTGAATCACGTCAACTTTGCAAGCAATAGAACTCAAAACAGCAAGGCGTGCACTGAATTGGCTGATTTTTGCAACAAAATTGTAATGGACTCTGTTCTGACTAGTTTCAGGTATGGGGGTGGTGTTTATTGGCTGTCAGTGGCTGACTTCTGGCTATGGTCAGGTGCTTCTAGTAACCAGCACTAGAATGGTGGCTTCCAGTTGTGAGCTGCTGATTATGGACCATTTGCATATGGTGAGTGGGATTTGTGGTCTGCACTAGTTATGTTTTGTTCATTCTTTATATTTAAGGATCATAAGTGTAATCTAGTTGTATTGTAAATACAACATGTGAAACAGCAATTAGTATTTTTAGGAGCCTAGACTCTTTTCAGGAAGAAGTTTGTTCTCTGATTTTGTAGTATTTGCTGTGCAGAAACTCTCCTAGACTGTTCATGCTACATGAGTCTCCTCCCACAATGCTTCATCTAATCTTTATGAACATGCTTTCTATTTCATTCTTCCTTGTCCTTATCTATCTTGCCTTAAAATAAAATAATTCTTACTGCCTGACAAGGGCAGTCATGGGAACACCACCATCTCAGTTGCTGTCTGTCGCACAGCATCCTGACTTGGAAGATATTGTCATTCATTTGCTGTTTCTGTAACTCCTCACTCAAGAACATTGTGGCAGTACTTGTACAGACTGCAGTGGTTGAAGAGGCAGTTCCCTACTATCACCTTGGAAGTAACAATGGACTACAAGTATTGGCCTTTGGTTAAATTGCATCCCGTGAATGAATAGTTTTTAAAATATTGCTTTTGTGCTAATCATCTCAACTACATGTGATAACAAGTTTTACGTTGTAACCAACCTTTGTTGTTTTGAAACCACAAAATCCTTATTGGATTTGTTACTGACTCTTGGGATCCTTGGTTAATTCTCCAAGTGGTGTAAAGCTTTTCTCCATCTAGTTTGGGTTTAAATATACACTTTTTAAATTGGCACTATGTTCGTGGATTAAATCTTTGGATGACAGATCGCTTCTAGGAAAAGCAATCCAAGCTAAATTTATCTTCAGCCTCCATAACTGGTTTTTACCTCCATTTTTGCTGCCCACTTCTGGTCGGTGTGCTGTTGAAGGATCTGTTGCTGTCAGTCATCTTTTGGTACCTTGCTTAAGTGTTTTATCCCCTTTGTGATCCCAGGTGATAAGCATCTTGCATAGTAACTTCAAACCAGTGTATAGGGATCTAGTGGTGTAGTGGAAATATCCCTACCTCTGGGCCAGATAAATGAGTTCTACAGCAGGTGCAACTTGAAGTGTGTCATAACAAAACTATACATGTTGATTTCAAAGTATCTTGAGCCAGAGTATTTAGCCTGGTGGAATCAATGTTAAACAATACCAATACGTTTTGAGGATCAAGCTTAATATTTGTAAAGTGTTCAGTTCTAAACTCTTATGAAGATATGTTATCTGAAATATTAATTGGAAAATGGCAGCATGGTGGCTCAGTGGTTAGCACTGCTGCATCAAAGCGCCAGGAACCCAGGTTCAATTCCAGCCTCCGGTAACTTCTGTGTGGAGTTTATACATTCTCCTAGTGTCTGCGTGGGTTTCCTCCAGGTGCTCTAACTTTCTCCCACATTCCAAAGATGTGCATGTTAGGTAGATTGGCCATGTTAAATGGCCCATTGTGCCCGGGGATGTGTAGGTTAAGTGGATTAGCCATGGGAAATGCAGGGTTACAAGAATAGAGTGGGATGCTATTCGGAGAGTCGGTGTGGATTTGTTGGGGCCAATGGCCTGTTACCACGCAGTAGGTATTCTATGGATTGTATGAATTGATAGAATTGGATGTAGGTGTGTTTTGAATTTTTTTTGGAAGGATTATCTTGCAAAGCAAAAAACACTTGCTACAGCAACAGCAATGCTGCATTTGTAAGGAGAGGCTATTGCATTGGAAACAGCAAAGATGATTCTTCCCAAGCGCTGAATGCTGTGGGTAATGGCAAAAATTTGAGAATGGTGCAAGATAGCAGTTAGGAGATTGACATTGACAGCAGCAAGTCAGATTTTCCAGCTGTGTTGAACAGTGAGACAAGATTGTTGTTAGTGAGCAGCAACAGGTCTAGTTGCATGTCTAAGCATATATTAACATTATGATGACATCTCACCTCATTGATAATGTAGCTTCTCACCTGCTGGAAATAAACTAGGTGCCAACAAATCCTGACATGAAAGTCATTGGTAAACTGACGACTCCAGCTTGCTCTTCTGGCCCTCCAAGGAACCCATGCCATGGCGGTGACTGCATGCATCCCAACCCCATCCTCCAGGTCACTGTCGGCAAACTGGTGCATTTTTCCTCTGATTGATAGGAACCATACAGGACAGCAACTGACTGCCAGCACTTGACAGGTACCCAGCAGGGCTTCACAGATAGTGCCAGGAATCCTGGGATTGTGGCAGTAGGAAAATACAGTGGGGTGCAATGAGGGTTCCTGAAGGAGAATATAAAATCCACACCACTATACCCAGAAAAGTTAATCCAGCCAACCATAACTGATCCAAGAGCCTCCACTCCCTCTCCTCATCCCTGCCCCACCTCCAAGCCTCCCTTTCCCAAACTTGCAGAGGGCCTCTTCTCTTTACTTGACACAGAATCCACACACCCAACAAACTACTTTTCTGTTCATGTATGTTTGCAAGATTCTCCTCTACTCTCCTCCAGTTGAGAACACACTCGCCACTCAAACTGGAGCAGTTCATCGACTTTGTTAACAACTTCCACCCCACCCCCAAATTCACTTGGTCTTGGATGCCTCCTTTCCCCTTTTTTGACCTCTGTTTCCATTTCTGGTGACGGTTTACAGATCGACATTTACTATAAACCCACAGGCTCCCATAGCTACCTAGACTACGCCTCCTCCCACCCGGTATCCTGCAAAAACTCCAACCTGTTTTGCCAGTTTCTCCGTCTCATCAGAGCGGATGCAACGGAGGAGACGTTCCACTCCCAAGCATCCCAGTTGTCTGCCTTTTTCAAACAATGCTCTTTTCCCCCACTCTGTCATCCAGACAGCTCTCCACCATGCCTCCTCCATTCCTTGCTCCACAGCTTTTAACCACCACCCCCAAAACATAATATAGATAGGGTCCCCCTAGTCCTTATTTTCCACACCACCAGCCTCCGCTTCTAACGTATCACCCTCAAACACTTCTGTCAACTCCAATTAGACCCCACCACCTGGAACACCTTCCACTACCCATGCCTCTCTGCCTTCCACAAGGACCATTTTTGTTTGCCACTCCATAGTTCGCACCACACTCCCCATCAACCTCCCTGGTACCTTCCCCTGTAACCATAAAAGATGCAACACTTGCCCACATACAACCTCCCTCACCTCCATCCAGGGCCCTAAACTGGTGGTTGAACCAACTGTGAAGATTGTTATGACCAAATCAAAGAAAATCCATTGACTTTTAATATGAACTCTCCTTGCTTTGAACGTATACTGCCAGTTTGCACAACATAAAGTTTTAAGGTACCAGAATGGTTTGTGAAGCCATGATTAACTTAATGAACATGATATTTCTGCCATTTAAATGGGATGATCTAATTTGTGTGGAATATAGAGGAGAAAGATGTTATTAACTTGAACTGGATCTAGTCACAATTTGATTTCTGAATTAGTTGCAGTTCATTAGAGACACTGGGGTTTGAATTTTCCCAGTCTGTTGATGGCAGGCGGAAAAAAAGAGGGTGGAGCTGTGTAAGGACAGTTCCCTACCCATTTCTGCACTAGTTTCCCTGAGGAGTCCAGGAAAGCAGACTAGCTGTGAACTGCACATTGACATGTAACCAGTTTACATCATAAAGACACTAATAGGTATGATTTTTCTTCTGGTTGTGTGACATTGGCAATATTTTCCAGGCATTAAATTACCTTTGTGCTACATGAAGAGGTTGCCAACCCATTGGCGATGACTGACTTGACTGTGGAGAATGGGTGCCTCTGGTGCTGTGCCCAATGATGAGGACATGAACAGGAAAGGCTGTATCTGTAACTCAAATCATGTATCCAGAGAGATTTCCCTTCCACTCTGGGGCATCTATTGTCCTGTCCCCTTAACTACTGAGTTATCTGAAAGCCTTTGATGCTGCCTTCATGTTGAAGTTCTCTTTTTTTTTAAATTTGGCCTTTGGCCTTTTCCTTTGTTTTGCTCCTTGTGGTTCCTGATCTCCCTTAGCCTCACTTGTTACTTGATAGGGTTGTTGAGGATCCAGAGCTGATTCATCTCTGATTGGGCCGGCAGAATGGAGCCGCTTATCATCTTTAATTGACAATGAGCTTGGAGGCAGCCAGTTATCTGGGGTGCATAAGGGAAGATTAGTTGATCATATGCCAGTAAGTGTATCCCCAGGACCCCTAATTGATTCTGACATCAGGCTCCTGTAATTGATAGCTTTCAATTTCGGGCAACAGTGGAATATTTAAGTGTAATTTGAAACTGTACCTTGCCATGATTTCTGTGTGGAATCTGGACTAATTTTACTGTCATTGAACTACTCACTAAATTATAGCATAGCAACTGTCTTGTTTCTGTTTTTATTCTTTTGAGGTGTGAGCATCTTAAATGAGGCCAGTAATCTTTTTTTGCCCATCCCAAGTTACTCTTGAGCTGAGGAGCTTGCTTCACTGTTGCAGTGTGTAGTTAAGTCAATCTCATTTGTTGACGTCTGTCTTTGCACGTCCGCCAGATCAGGTAACAATGGCAGATTTCCTTCCCTAAAGGACATTAATGGACCAGATGGGTTTTTGAGACTAGCTATTATAGTTCCATAGTTAGTTATAAAGACCAGCTTCATGTTCCAGATTATTGATTGAATATAAATTCCTTGAGCTGTTTTAGTGGGATCTGAATGAGAGACACTAATGGTGGTGGTTTAACCTAACGGTCACTACACCTTAGGCAAGGGTGAGGTCAAGAAAGTGGAACCTTGTGGCTTCAGCTGACATGGTATCTCTGATATTATCACTATACTGCCTTTCCACTTTACATTTACCTGTTTGTGGTATCTTGTTTTATCAAGGCTTGGTTAGATTCTCTGAATAAGGATAGAACATGACAATTTTGCATTTATTTAGCACCTTTTAATGTGAAATGTCCCAAAGGACCTCTGGCATCATAAAATGTAAATGGATGCTAAGACAAGGGGGATATTTGACAATATGATCAAAAGTTCGTGAGCTGTAGAATTTAAGCAAGATCTTTAAAGGAGGGAAAGCAGGTGCAGGGATTTAGGAAGGGAATTTCAGAGAATGGAAACTTAGGGGCTCCTGTGGCGCCTAGGTTCAAGTCCCACCTGTTCCACAGGTGTGTGGTAATATATTTGAAATGGTTGATTTTAGAAAATATCAGTATAGAACCTGGACATGTGAAGGAATAGTGACTAAATGCTCTGAAGGGTTGGGGAGGGATGCAGCTGACGAACTGTATGCTTGGGTGAAGTGAGTAGGGGACAGGATAATTAAGCATGGTCGAATGATCTGCAACTCTATAATTGATAAAGATTTGAATTGGAAGGAGAGAAATTAGGGCATGAACAGATTCAAATATGGATGAGAATTTGATTGGAAGTAACTGGTGACCATACTGGCTCCTGGATAATTGGTAATAGTGGAATTAATCAGCGAATGGCTCCTAACACAGGATTGCGGCAGCTTACTTTTGGGGAAAGCTTGATATTCATGGATTTTCTTGGGATAATTATAGCTTAATATTTGCTACATTTACTAAGCAGTTGAAGATTCTTTTGTGGTAGTCAAATTACAGGAATTTGTGTGTTGGAGTCAATCTGTTAAAACCCAATATTGAATCTTTGCATACTTACTCAGTATTCAGCTACACTATAAGTTGGAAATCAAGTTGTTGCATTTGGACATTTTCAATCTAAAGCTGATAGGTTGTTGCATTGTTAAAGCACCAGAAGGAAAGGAATAAAATCCACCTGGAAAGTGATATTTTAACACTTTGTTTTCTTCCCTCCCTCGCCCCTCTCCTCTCTGTTTGCCATTCTCTCTTTTCCCACTCCTGCAACCTCTCCCTCTCATGTGCTTGCCCACCCACAAAAATAAAAACAGGTAAAACGATATCAGTGCACATTTGAAGGCTGCCCACGTACTTACAGCACGGCAGGAAACCTGCGGACACATCAGAAGACTCATCGTGGTGAATACACGTTCGTTTGTAATCAGCAGGGCTGTGGCAAGGCCTTTCTCACATCTTACAGCCTGAAAATCCACGTCAGAGTCCACACCAAGGAAAAGCCGTTTGAGTGTGATGTGCAGGGTTGTGAAAAAGCATTTAACACACTCTATCGGTAAGTTGTTACCTCTTATTCTCCTAAATTGCAGAGGGTTTAGGGCCAGGTTGCACAGTTTCTTAGTGGACAACGCTCCCAAAGTGAATTTTGGCTGGACCACTTTCCATGTAGGTATATCTTCCTTTGAATAGAGACCAAAACTGCGTGCACTGTTGTTGGGCAGTTAAAAACGAAAGAACCATGGATGCTGTAAATCAGGAACAAAAACAGAAGTTGCTGGAAAAGCTCAGCAGGTCTGGCAACATCTGTGAAGAAAATATCAGAGTTCACGTTTCTGGTCCGGTGACCCTTTTCACAGAACTGATGGTAGCTGGGAAAACATTGGTTTATGTGCATAAAATAGGGAGGGGGACTGGGTAGGGAGTAAACGATAGGATCGAGCCCAAAGAGGGAGAAGAGCAGTTGGATAGACAAAGGAGTTAATAAAGATCTGGCTAGGAGGGTGAATAGCTGTTAATGGGGACTGTTAGTGACTAACAATAGACAGTGTGTAATGGCAGCCTATGTGATATCAAGGTCTGGTGTGTGGGGTAGGGGGCTAGGACATGGGAGAGTTTAGGCCCTAAAATTATTGAACTCAATATTGAGTCCGAAGGGCTGCAGGGTCCCTAAGCGGAAAATGAGGTGTTGTTCTTCAAGCTTGCGTTGAGCTTCTCTGGAATGCTGCAGGAAGCCAGAGACAGTTGTTGGCCAGAGAACAGGTTGGTGTGTTAAAGTGGCAGGCAACAGGTAGGTCAGAGTCTTTTTTGTGAGCAGCACACAGATGTTCTGCAAAGCGGTCACCCAGTCTATGGGGAAATGAAGCAATGTAGAGGAGACCACGTTGTGAGCAGCGAATGCAGTAGACTAGCTTCTGGGAAGTGCAGGTGAAGTGTTGCTACACCTGGAAGGTATGTTTGGGCCCTTGGATACTGGGGAGGGAGGAGGTAAATGGCAGGTGTTTCACCTTCGCCAGTTGCAGGAGAAAGTGCTGTGGGGGTGGTTTTGCGGGTGGGGAGTTGATGGCCTAGTGCTTTTATTGCTAGTCTATTAATCCAGAGACCCAGGTAATATTCTGGAGATCTGAGTTTGAATCCTGCCTTAATAGCTAAGTAATAATCTGGATGTAAGAGTGTTATGATGCCAATGTTGATTGTTGAAAAAACCCATCTGCTTGACTCATGCCATCAAATGTGCTATCCTGACCTGGTCTGGCCTACATGTGACTTCAGGCTCTCAGTAATGAAGAATGGACAATAAATGCTGGTTCCTCCTCCTCCTCACCCGCTCCCAGCTGTGATATGCACATCCCCTGAAATGTTGAATAAAGCCAACAAAACACAATACAATTGTATCAACAGTTCCTTGCCCTTGTATTCCTACCAGTCCACTTACAGTAAAGGCCATTTGTCTTCATGATTGCTTGAAGGCTGCTAACTTTCCTTCTCCATTTGTATGAATGTGCCAAATTTCTCTCTCTCAATCTGTATCAATATTAATCGACATTAACTTTTCACTTGTTTTTAAATATTATTTTTCTGCTCTTGCTACCATCTGCCACCTTATTGACTGTCCAGTTAACCTTTGCAACTTCTTTTGAGCATCTCACCACTTTATCATTAGAAAACTTGGATATGTTGCTGTGCCTCTAAGTCCTTAATGTAGATTGTAAATTGTTGAGGTCTCAACACTGGCCATTGCAGCAATGCTTGTAGTTACGTCCTGCAAACTTGAAAATGCTCCATTTATCTCTGCTTTTTGTTTCCTGTCTGTTAACCAGTTTTCTGTCTCTTTCCATGCAAACATATTGCCCCAACTACCTGGATCTCGAATTTGAATTTAGTCCTTTGCGTGGTACCTTGTGCAATTCTTTTTCTGAATCCGTGTATGCTAGAGCTGTTATTTCCCTATATTTATCATGCTAGTTTCACAATTTAAACCATATGAAGCCCACCTCTCAGATCTGTAACTTTTTTCTGTTTATTTTTCTCTCTGTTATCCTTTCTTGAATAGTTTTTATTGGATTTGGATATGTTTTACAATTTCAAAAGTTAAAATCAAATGGTACATCCGTTATCTCAGGAGAATTTGAGGATGGAGACAAAGTTCTGCCAGTTGGGCTTTTCATCTCTGCAGTTCCTCTGATTCTTTTTGCCTGCTGACATAATTATTTTAATTCATCACTCTTGTGTATGCTTGCACATCATGATTTCCTTAACTTGTCTTTGAATAAGATGTGACTGTCATATAAATTGATGAGCACGAGAATGCTCCTCTGCTTCTGTAGTGGAGAGGGAGGAGAATGAGCGCTCTTGAAGCACTTTTTCCCTTTAACATTAAACCAGAGTTTCCTCAAGTGATCTGTGCTGCATATTTTGCACCTTTTGTGAATTGGTTCAGGTTCTCTCAGCCCAAGCATGTAGCTTGATAGACTAGGCACCACAATGGTCAGTCTTGCTGTGGAGTTCAACCTTCTCTAAATTCTTTGAGAAGTGATGCGATCAAGTTAATAAGTTAAAACTGGATTTATTTTCAGAATCTATAGTCCAGAAGGCCTATCATGTATTTCCAGCAATAAAAACAAAATGCTTATAAATGTCAGCAGATTTGCCAACATCCGTGGTCAAAGAAAGAGAATTATTGCTTCAATTCCGATATGGCACTCTTCTTTGGAACTCTTAGAAATTCCAAAAAGAAATGTTAACTTTTTATTTCGGATCCACAGTGCCATTTTCTTCAATATATCACGTGTTCTTAATTTTCAGTGTTGCTGAATAAATTAAGACAGCTCATAACTCTTGTTTTCTGGTGCAACATTTAATCTGTTTGAGTTAAGTATGTTGTAGCCAGTCCACAATCTGCAAGGCAAAAATCAGGAGTATAATGGAAAACTCTTTAGCTGGATCAGCTTAGCTCCAGAAAAGCTTGATAATATCTGGGACAAACCAATTTGCTTGATTGACAGCCCAGCCACCACCTTTTAAACATTAGGCCAACAGTGGAGAAAGTGTAATGCATAGTGGCAGTGGTGTGTACCACCTACAAGATGCACTGTAGCAACTTAGCAAGGATGCCTGAACAGCACCTTCAAATCTCTGGCATCTAGAATGAGGGCAGTAGGTGCATGAGAGTAACACCACCTGCAAGTTCTCCTCCAAGCCATTTACCATCCTGACCTGGCACTATATTGCCTTTCTTTGCTAATGCTTGGTCAAACTCCTGGAGCTCAGTTCCCAACAATACTGTGGGAATCCCTATACCCCACAAACTGCAGTGGGTTGAAAGATGGGCCATGACTTTCTTGAAAGCAGTTGGACAATAAATGCCGGTGATACCCACATCCATAAACAAATGAAAAAAACAAAAACTGAAAGAACAGAAGTTGCTGGGAAAGCTCAGCAGGTCTGGCGGCATCTGCGCAGAGAAGTCAGTTAACGTTTCAGGTCAAGCGGCCTGATGAAGGCTCACCCAACCCGAAACATTAATGCATATAAGAAAAACCTCTGGCTTCTAACTCTTGATTTTGAGCAAGTTGCCAATGAGGGTCGAACATAGTTGCTGATAAGCAACTGTGTTTTTGAGTTGTCTTAAATTCTGTGGAGGATTGTGCACTGGTGTTCCCATGGCACTTAAATTATTATTGCAGATGCATGGAATGCTTAGGGACTTGTTCAACCTGTAGCTTTGTTTTCCTCAGCACCTTGAGGATTATGCATTAGTGAATGCATCACATTCATTTGCTTTTTCACAATGTTGCAAAATACATTACAACAAACAGGGTTTAATGAGGTTTTTAAACAAGCTTGAACAGAAATATTCACAATTCCATTTTGGTGTCAAGATGTCCAAGTGGTACATAGCCAATGAATTTCAATGCATTTCTTTTTAGGGTTGGATTAGTTGTGTTTCAGTCAGAGTAATTCAATCACGTGTGTACAGTGGTGGCAAATCACAAACCTCAAAAAGCCTCGAAGTTAGATGCATGAGATTTGATCCCAACTGATATTGTGACCAGACAGACCTCATCTCATTGAAATCTGGCCTGTTGGATCTTTTTTATTTGATGTGATGGTTATTCAAAGAAATGTAAGCACGTAAGGCTGAACATCATCTTTAAATAAAACAAGCTAATTACAAAAAGAAAGAAAACAAGATAGCCAAATAGAGTATAGCTGGAATGATCTGAAAATATATGGTAAAACAAGACTGCTATTCTCTAAAACCATTATCTTACTGTGTTTGAAATCCAGAGAAATTGCCCTTCAATATCAAATTGAGATTTGACCTAACTGCTTTCCTGCAGTTCTGACCAATGAGTTGTGAAGTCTTATGAATACTCATGAAACAAAACTTAGACTTGGCAATTTTTAAAAATATTCTGCAGGTTTCGAATCCAACATTCCTGGTTTGGACGATTCAAAAGCTAACTTCTACAGCAAGATAATTGTGTTTTCCCTCAACTATCCCATACTCCTTTTAAGGGAAAGTATATTTACTTCTGCCCCAAGGCTTTCAATCTGTGGTTTTCCTAAACTATGATCATTCCTTAATTATTCCAAACCAAAAGCAAGCAAATGCCTTTGCATGTTCATCTTAACACCCTGTTTATAAAACTCGGTGTCAACAATCTTCCATTAATATGACAGGGGCTTTGTGGTCACCTCCTCTCTGACGTATTCTGGGTTTGACCATGGTTCTGGAAGGGCATACTGACTTTTTAAAAAATCCTTCACAAAAGAAATCGACAGTCATGCCACTAACTGGAGATCCAGGTGCTAAAACTGCTTTTGAGATATTTATACATAAATCTCAACTTTATCAAACACTGCCTTTAAATTATTTATACTTTGTTAATTGGCCAGTGCAGAAGAAGAACTTCTTGCTCAAACTCTTAGCGTTTTTGACATTAACTTTTATCCTGTTGATTGTTATCCAAAAGATAACACTGCCTCTGCTGCACAAGAGGAGCAGCTTGGAAGAAATGTTCCAGTCAGTGTGGGATTGGAACCTAGGGCCTTGTGATGTAATTTATGATATCAGCTGAGCTAAGGTGAATTTTCAAAGAAATAATAACTTGATGGGTGCTTAGTTCATTTTAGATTGGAGAGAGCCAGTCGTGTTTTATATTTCCGTCCAGTAGCTACCTTTTTGAGGTATTGCAGTCCAAGCAATTTCAAAGGAAGCACATATTTGGTTCAGTAAATTGGTGCTTCTCAATATGGATTTTGTTACAGAGGCTTGTTTGTGGTTAATGAGGTTTCCCCTAGGAAAGGTGTATTGTGGCCTGTGACTGACTTACAGTGCATTGAAATTAGTTTGTGCAAAGCAGCACTGTTCCACTCCCACCACCCAAACTAACTACCAAACATTCAGTTAGAAATGGTATCAAAGTAATGGTTGCAGCCTCTGGCTTGTGCCAATATACTGGGTCTCTGCAGAGATCATCAGGTATATGAACAGACGTAGGCCATTTGGCCTTTTGAGAATGCTCTGCTGTTCAATGAAATCATGGCTGATCTAATGACCCTTAGTTCCATTTTATTGCCTTCCCTAGAACCCTTGATTTCCTTAGTGATTTAAAAATCTGTTGATTTGAATTTTGACTGTGCTTATCACCCAGCCATGACAACTCCTTGTGGTAAAGAACTTCATAAATTGGTTACCTTTGTCTAAATTGAAGACCTTTGAGATTATGCCCTCTGGTCCCAGCCTCTCCCACAAAGGGAAACAGTCTCTTTGCATCTACCTTGTCAGATCATCTAAGGATCTTGTATGCTTCAATAAAGTCTCCTCTCATTCTTGTCAATTCCAATGAGTACAGACATAATCTATTCATACTGTAGTCCTTCCATACCTTGCATCAACCTAGTGAACCTTCTCTGGACTGCCTTCAACGCCAGTATACTTTTTCTTAGATAATGCATTCAGAATTGTCCAGTTTTCCAGTGTTGACTGATTATTGCCTTGCATGGTTTTAGCAAGATCTCGCTACTTTTGTACTTGATTCCCCTTGCAATGAAAGCCAACAATCATTTGCCGGCTTTATCAGCCACTGAACCTGGATGCTAACCTCCCCCAGGGGAAAAAAAATCCTTCTGCAGTTTTTTCCCATTTAAATAATGTGCAACTCTTCCTGGCAAAGAGCATAACCTCATTTTCCCACAATCTGTCTGCCAAGTTTTTGACTATAGCTGCTTATAGGTTCCCTGTTGCATCCTTTCCTTGCCTATTTTTTTTTTGTCATCCTCAAACTTAGTACATTCATGTGTATTATCTGAGAAACTAATCAATATATTAAATCATTGTGGCCCCAGCACTAATCCCTGTGCCATTCCAGATACCGGATGCTACTCTGAAAAGCTCCTCCTTTATCCTAACTCATTCTTCTGTTAGTTAGCAAATCCTCTATTTATGCTGATACATGATGTCCCAATGCCATTGGCGCCTATTGTGTAGCCTTAGGTGCAGTACCATATCGAATGCCTTTTGTAAAACCAAATATATTTTCTGGTCCTGCTTTATCTATTCTGCTTGTTACCACCTCAAAAAAAACTTAAATTTGTTGGGCATGATTTCCCCTTCATGAAGCTATGTTGACTCTGCTTGATTATCTCATGTATTTTGAAATGCTCAGATTTTACTTGCATTATGCTTTTCCCAGTTAAGCTAACTAGCTTAGAGTTACTTTTTGTTATCTCGCTCGGTTTTTTGAATAAGGATGTCCACATTGGCAGTTTTCCAATCATCTGGGAAATTTCCCATGATTAAAGATTCTTGGAGGATTACTCAGTACACCCACTATCTCTGTGGTTACTTTTAAAATCCTAGGACATAACCAGTCGGGTTCAGGGGTTTTAAGAGCCTTTAGCCCTATTAGTTTCCTTGGTTTTTCCTCTAGCGACAGTTATTGTATCCATCTCCCATCCTCACTGGTTTTGTTTAGTTAGCATTTTTGGAATAATAATGGTGACTGTGAAGATGATGCAAGTCATTTGTTCAACTCCTTAGCCATTTCCTGGTTTCCCATTATTATTTCCCTGGTCTCATTCTTTGGGTCTATATATGTAAAGAAGTTCTTGTTTGCTTTCAGAATTACTTGCTAGCTTGCCCTCAGTTTATTTTCACACTTTTTTCTTTTGTCAACTTTTGGCTTTTATAGACTTTTCCCAACCATCTAGTTTACCACTAATCTTTGCCGTATTTTGTTTTTTCTTTCGATTTGATACTATCCTTCCTTTCTTTGGTTAACCATGGCCGCTTTATTCCCTTCCTGGAATCCACTTCCTCACTGAGATTTAAGTTTTCTGTCTGTTATTGTTCTTCAGCTATAATTTCTGCTAACTCCTTTCACAGTCCACTCCACCCAATTCACCCATCATCCCAATGTAATTACTCATATCTAAGTTTAACACAGTTGTATCTGAATGAAGTTTCTCTCTTCAAACTGCTAAATTCTGCCATGTTATGTTCACCGTTTCCTAGGGAATCTTCTTGAATAATTTTATTAAAGTTACCTCCAGTGTGCCCTCTAATTTTCTTACCAGTTGCACAGCTCTATAAGGCCTGTGCACAACACTGACTTCTGGAACCAGACTTTCAGGTGTGCTGTGTGTCAATGTGCTGATGTTGATTACCATGTGCGGAACTTTTAGAGCGTGCAGCTTAGAGGGAATGTTGCTTGTCTCATTATGCACTATTAGATCCAAATTAGCCTGATCTCTGGTTGCATCCACAACATCGTTTTTTTTTTTTTTTTAATTCATTCACAAGATGTGGATATCACTGACCAAGCCAGCATTTAAATCCATCCTTAAATACCCAGAGGCAGTTAAATGTCAGCCTCATTGCTGTGGATCTAGAGTCACATGTAAGCCAGACCAAGTAATGAAAGTAATTTCCTTTATTAGTGAACATTAATGAACCAGATGTGCTTTTTTTTTCTGACAATCGACAATAGTTTCATGGTCATCATTCGACTCAATTCCAGACATTTACTAAATTCAGGTTTCACCATGTGCCATTGAAGGATTCGAACTTGGGCTCCCAGAGCATTACCAGGGTCTCTGGGTTAGTAGTCTAATGATGAATGCCAGTGAGCCTCTGAATTCTTCCTCATGGCTACCTTTGCCAATTTCATTTTTCCGATCTACATGAGTATTAAAGTTACCCATGATGATTGTACTGTCTTTTTTACGTGTTGTCATTATCTCTTGATTTATTTTCTGTTCTACAGAAGTTACAGCTAGAGGGCTTATGGACTACTCCCACCAGTGTCTCCTTTCCCTTGTTATTTCTTACCTCCACCTATATGGATTCTATCTCATCCGATCATTTCTTGCTGTTGTACTTAGTCCGTGATGTACTAACAACTACTCCCCCACATTTCCCTTACTGCCTGTTCTTTCCAAAAATAACATCCCCCTGAATATTGAGTTCTTGAGTTTGATCACCTTATACCATGTCTCTGTAATGGCTATGGAATTGCATCCATAACCTTTTATTTGTGGTGTTAATTCAGTTATTTAATGAATAACACATGCATTTAAGACACTATACCTTGGCTAAGCAAAGTGACCAAATATGACTTTGATTTTTCAAGACTAATATTTAGGTAAAATTCAAAATAACAAATGAGCGAGTCATTATAATTGGTAATTTAAGGGAAGGCAATGGTCTTTTGGTATTATTGCTGGACTGTTAATCCAGAGAGCCAGGTAATGGTCTGGGGACCTGGGTTTGAATCCTGCCATGACAGATGGTGGAATTTGAATTCAATAGAAAAAAATCTGGATTAAGTCTAATGATGACCATGAAACCAATTAGGGGAATTCCCCACTTGGTTCACTAATTTCCTTTACCTGTTTACATGTGACTGCAGACTCTCAACGATGTGGATGGCTCTTAGCTACCTTCTGGGATAGGCAATAAATGCTGACCAACCTAGTGACATCCTCATCTCGTGAATGAATAAAACAGATCCTTTCACCAAACGTGCAATCATGCCTATTATTATAAGACCATAAGACACAGGAGCAGAAATTAGGCCATTCAGCCCATCGAGTCTGCTCCGCCATTCAATCATGACTGATAAGTCCCTCAACTCCATTCTCCCACTTTTTCCCTGTAACCCTTGATAATCAAGAACCTACTTATCTCAGTCTTAAATGTACTCAATGTCTTGGCCTCCACAGTCTTCTGTGGCAGTAAATTCCATAGATTCACCACTCTGGCTGAAGAAGTTTCTCCTTATCTCCATTCTAAAAGGTCTTCCCTTTACTCTAAGGCTGTGCCCTCTGGTCGTAGTCTGTCCTACCAATGGAAGCATCTTCCCAACATCCACTCTGAACCAGGCCATTCAGTATTCTGGAAGTTTCAGTTAGGACACCACCCCCCCCCCCGCCCCCCAATCCTTCTAAACTCCAATGAGTATAGTCCCAGATTCCTCAAACGTTCCTCATATGTTAAGCTTTCCATTCCTGGGACCATTCTCGTGAATCTCCTCTGAACCCGCTCCAGGGCCGGTGCATCCTTCCTGAGATATGGGGCCCAAAACTGCATACAATACACCAAATGTGGCCTGAGCAGAGCCTTATAAAGCCTCAGTAGGTACGTCCCTGCTTTTATATTCATGTCCTCTCAAAATAAATGCCAACATTGCAATTGCCTTCCGGACTACTGACTCAACCTGCAAGTTTACCTTGAGAGAATCCTGGACTGGAACTCCCGAGTCTCTTTGCACTTCAGACTTCTGAATTTTCTCCCCATTTAGAAATTAGTCCATGCTCTTATTCTTCTTACCTAAGTGCATGACCTCACACTTTCCCACATTGTACTCCATCTGCCATTTCTTTGCCCACTCTCCTAACCTGTCCAAATCCTTCTGCAGCCTCCCCACCTCCACAATACCGCCTGTCTTTCCACCTACCTTTGTATCGTCTGCAAAATTAGCCAGAATGCCCACAGTTCCTTCATCTAGATCATTAATGTATAAAGTGAAAAGTTGTGGTCCCAACACTGACCCTTGCGGAACACCACTTGTCACTGGCTGCCATCCTGAGAGAGACCCTTTTATCCCCACTCTCTGCTTTCTGCCAGACAGCCAATCTTCTATCCATGCTACCACCTTGCCTCTAACACCATGGGCCCTTATCTTACTCAGCAGCCTCCTGTGTGGCACCTTATCAAAGGCCGCCTTGAAGTCCAGGTAGATAACATCCATTGGCTCTCTTTGGTCTACCCTGCTCGTTACTTCCTCAAAGAATTTTAGCAGATTTGTCAGGGATGACCTCCCCTTGATGAAAAAATGCTGACTTTGCCCTATTTTACTATACACTTCCAAATATTCAGAAATCTTATCCTTTACATTGGACTCCAAAATCTTACCCACGACCGAGGTTAGGCTAATCAGCCTGCAATTTTCCGTCTTTTGCCTGACTCCCTTTTTAAACAGGGGTGTCACTTTAGCAATTTTCCAGACCTCTGGGACCCTCTCTGACTCTAGCGATTCCTGAAAGATCACCACTAACACTTCCACTATCTCTTCAGCTATCTCCTTTAGAACTCTGGAGTGTAGTCCATCTGGTCCAGGTGGTTTATCCACCTTCAGGCCAATCCATTTTACCACACCTTTTCCTTGGTGATGGCCACCATACTCAGCTCTGCCCCCTGACTCTCTTGAATTTTTGGGAAATTACTTGTGTCTTCCACCATGAAGACTGATGCAAAGTAATTATTCAGTTCCCCAGCCGTTTCTTTGTTCCCCAGTGTTATTTTCCAGTGGTCCAGTGTCCACTTTTGCCTCTCTTTTGCCCTTTTATATATCTAAAGAAACTCTCACAGTCTTCATTTATATTACTGGCTAGCTTACCCTCATTTAATCTTCTCCCTCCTTTATTTCTTTTTTTTTTGCCCTCTGTTGGTTTTTGTAAGCTTCCCAGTCCTCTGGTTTTCCACTGTCCTTCGCTACGTTATATACATTATTGTTAAAATTTACCATCTACTTAGCCATTAATTATACAGCTCCCAACAATCAATTATAACTATCTCAGTATAGCCTCAAATAATTTGAAGATTCTTCAGATTTATTAATATCCCCTTTTGGATTAATTCTGAACCTAACAAATCTCTTACATTTTGAGATTAAGGAAACCTTACTTTGTTAGATATTCTTACTTGTTACTGTTACGACTTAAAAGAAGTATACTGTTCAAAGCTGTCATCTTGGGATTTATTTACTTTTGTGATTAACAGTTTTCATTATAATCATGGAATCGCATGCTTTTCAATTAGATTAACTTTGAGTTTTAAACTTAAATTGCTTAATCTATTTTTCTGGATCAAACACTCAACCCAACTCCTGTAACTTGGTGGGTGAATATTTACTGAAGGGTTTCACCTAGACTCTTAAAACATTTGGGGGAAATTACAGTCCAGTTTAAAATTCCGACTCTTTGGTAGTCAGTAAAACTCTTCCCTTTTTGTTTGGGTGGGGCTTGAGGTGCAACTTGCTCTCTCTGCTTTTGCATACTTCCTCAAGTGCAGTGCCCAGAAAAGGGTGTATACTCCCTGTTGAGGTTAAACCAGTGTTTTATACAAATTTATACCAGCTTTCTTGCTTCTTTATTCTCTGATAATACCCAGAATATTGTTTTAAGTTGTGCTTAAACCCATCCTGCAACCTTCAATGTTTACAAATATGTACCCAGATCCATCTGCTCCTGTACCATCTTAAGAATTGTTCTTGTCACATGTTTTTGTTCTATTTGCTAAAATGAGTTGTTTTACGCTTAACTGTTTTTCATCTACTATGTCCATCCATTCTGCTTGCCAGTCATTGTAAGTTTCAACACTCTCACTTCCTCATTTCACAACACTTACGAGTTTCATATCCAAAAAGTTTGAAATTGTGCTCTGTACAGCAAAGTCTGTGTTATTAATATAAATTCAGGAAGAGCAGGGGTCCTAACAACAACTGCTGGGAAACTGCTATTAATTTTTCTCTTTTGTGGGAAAACACAAATATTTTTAAAAATCCAGTAATTGAAGTATTTTTGCAGAAAATTGTGTTTTATATTTTAGCATCTTTAAAGTGGAAAGGATCCAAAGGTGCTTCATTGGTGATTAAAAATTTGACTGAGCCATATGAAAACTAGAAGAGCTTATCAAGGATTTTGGTTTTTTTAGTGGAGAGAGTCTGGGGAAAGAATGCTGCAAACTCTGCAATAAGCAACAGAAGGTAAAACTGAACAAATGGTGGACCAATTTTAAACCTGGGCTAGACAAAGCCAGAGTTTGTACTTCTCCATGATTTCAAAACCTTTTAGGCTTGTAGGGAACAATAGAGATAGAGAAGCAAAACTTGGAGATATGCAATTAGGTGAGAATTTTAAAATTGAGACATTGCAGATCTGGATGAGGATTCAGTGTAGCTATTAGCCAGCACGGATTGATAGTATCTCATGTGAAGTTCAATTGAACTATGTCCCAACAGAGCATTGGTTGAGCTGAAATTTATGAAGGGTTGGGAATGAGAGACTGGCAAGGAAACATTGGAATAAAAGCATTTGGATACCCCAAAGACATTCAAGGATTTTAGCAGAGAAGCTTAAAATGGGTTGGAATTGAGCAGTGTTCTTAGGGAAAATGGGGCATTATTGGTGTAATAGAGTTGTAGCCAGAAGTAAGAAGCTTGCTAATGTCCTTCAGGCAGGGAAATCTGTCATCTTTGCCTGGCCTAGCCTATATATGACTCCAGAGCTACAGCAATGTGGTTGACTCTCAACTGCCTTCTGAAATGGCCTTGTAAGCCACTCTGCTGAACCTTTGTGGCAATTGATATAACTAAGAAATGAAACGGGACAGACCACCTGGCATCGACCTAGATACCGCTAAAGACAACAGCAGGAATAGCCCTGTCAACTTTGCAAAGTCCTCCTTATTAATACCTGGGGGCTCATGCCAAAATCAGACTGACAGAATCATATTACAGACAGTATCCCATGTGTCACCATCATCATCCCTGGATATGTCTTGTCTCCGGCAGAGGTGGTGGCACAGTGGTATACAGTGTAGAGAGTTGCCTTGAGTACTCAACATTTGACCCCAGGCCCCATGTAGCCCCCAGATATTAATAAGGAGGACTTTGCAGAGTTGACAGGACTATTCCTGCTGTTGTTAAGGAAACCTGCTGATTACTACGTACCGCCCTCCCTCAGCTCATGAATCAGTACATTTGAAGGAAGCACTGAGGGTGGCAAGAGCTCAAAATGTTTGGATGGGGGATCTTCATGTCCACCACCACAAGTGGCTTGGCAACAGCGCTGCTAATCGAGTTGGTTGGGTCCTAAAGGACACCGGCTGGATTGGGTCTGCAGCAGGTGGTGAGGGAGCCAACAAGAGGGAAAAACATACTTGACGTTATCCTTGCTAATGTGCTGGCTGCAGCTGCATCTGTCCATGACACTATCGCTTAGAGTTACCATCACGCAGTCCTTGTGGAAACAAT